TGGCTCAGTGGTAGAGCGCTTGCCTTGCATGCATGAGGCCCTGGGTTCGATTCCTCAGCACCACATAAGCAGAAAAAAAAAGCCGGAAGTGGCGCTGTGGCTCAAGTGATAGAGCGCTAGCCTTGAGCTGAAGAGCTGAGGGACAGTGCCCAGACCTAGAGTTCAGGCCCCACCACCGGACCCCCATTTCCCCCCTGCAAAAAAAATTACAAAAACAAGTAGTTCTGTGTAATTCTCTAACAGCCTGGTATTTTCTACCTATCTACTTGTCTCTATCAAATATATGTTCCCTCCAAAAGACCATGGTTCAGTTTATTGAAACTTTATAAACTTTTGAGCACATTTTATTGTAAATGGAATAAAAGAAATAGGATGTGTAGATTTGAAGGATTTCAGTGCACTCTAACTTACTGGTTCAGAAGGAAGGAAAAAGCAAGCTAGATTTCACATTAAACTCCACCCAGACTTCAAGGTCTAAACTACTTTAGGAGGATTAACTATTTCAGAATTGAAACTTCATCTGATCTTCATATCTCAATTACAAAATTCCTGTTAACTACCTAATGACAAAACTCAACAGAAATCAAACTCTTCTTTAACAAAATAAAAGGACACAGACATTTTAAACAAACAAATATACAAAGGATACAAATCTCTTTTAGCACTCCAATGTTTTGCTGCACCCTAGCTTCCACATCCTCAGCAGAATCCTTTCTTCTTTTAGTGCACTCTCTTACAGGGTCCAAGAGCATCTGAGGTTGCCTTTGGCCCTTTCTCAATATGAGAACTTATCCCTAATCCCTAAAACTCACTACTTGATTTGTTTAGTGATTATTCCAACTGAAAAGTTTGGGGAAAAGTTGCCTGTTTTGCTCCTTACTGTCTAGTTATTTCCAAGCTCATACTATATATATACTACATATATACTATATGTATACTACATAGAGTATACATATAGTATATTTATATATTAAGCTCAATTTATCTATATGGACATATATAGGCAGGCACACACACGTACGTACACACACACACACGTTTAGTCCCAAGGTCTCCATTCTTAAGATTTATTACTCCTTCGGCTCTCAGCACATTCCCCAAGTCCTTGCTTCCATTCTAGATTGAGTTCTTCTTTCTATACCTAAAGATTGACCTCTTTAAATCTCTGCTTGTTTTTTTCTTCCAAAATTTACATCCTTTTTTCTTCCTAAGGATTTCCCTCCTCTTTACCTTCCCCTAAGGTAGTGTAAGATGTGTTTGACCCATCCAATCTATCCTATCTCCACTACTGCATCACTTACTTGATAAAGCGAGAACGATTTCCAACTATACCGAATTCCTCTTCCTCTTCTGAGCTGGACTCTGAGTCTGAATCAGGAGGCTCAGTGCGAAGCAAACGGTGGCTGCTTGGGCCTTTCTTGGGTTTCTTTCTCCGGCTGTCCGCAGCCAAGCCAATCAATGCATTGAGCTCTTTGCGCTTTTTCATCTTCTTGTGTGGGGTGAGTGGAGCACCCACTCCTGAGCTGCCAGGTTCGTACCCGACGCCCAATTCTCTTGCTACTTTGACGCTACCTTCCAGGGTGGGAAATCTTGGGCCAGAGGCCTCTGATCACTCCCACCCAGAGGTGGGACTGACCAGATCCGCTGGGAGTTGGAGAACAGAAGCCCAAAGGAAATGGGAACTCAGAAGGGGAGGGGAAGTTACATAGAGGTGGTCAAGGAGCCCGTGATCCAAATGGACAAAACCCTGGGCATGGAGTGTCAGTTTAGAGTGAAAAGGGGCAATTTTTATCTTCCAAAGACTAATAAAAAGTTATGTCAGTTACTCCAGATAAGCGGCCAAAAGTATTTGCAGGGGCTGGGGAAGGAAGGGCATACGGAACACGTACTTTGGACCTCCGGGAAGGGATTTGCAATGGAAAGCGAAAAGAAACTTGTTCTTGAATGGGAGGAGAGGAGGAGACGCAGAGCACAGTGGGAGCTCGCTGGTCCTCGGCTGGAGGTGGCGGCCGGAGGAGGCTCAGCAGCCACAACCCTGACACCGCCTAGACGCCAAGAGAAGGTCGAGGTCAGGGAGCCGGCTGGAGCTTGGGATGCTACCGTTCTCTGGCTTCTGTCCTGAGTCCGATGGGAGTCTGGTTCGGAGCCGGTCCCGTGCCCGGGGAAACGCCAGCCCTGCTGTCCGGGCCAGCGGGGGGGGGGGGGTGCGGTGCGGAAGGGGCGGCCGCTGCTCTGCCCGCCTGAAGCGCTCCAGCGGAGTTTGAGATGTTCGGCAACTCACACGCGCCGCCCCCTCTCCAGCCGCGACTCCGGCCCCAGCTCCGGCCGCGGCTGCTCTCGACACACTGGTGGCGAAGGCGGCGGCGGCGGCCGCGGGCTCCAGACCCGGGCCATCGCTCCGGCTGCAGCTCACTTCCCCTTTGGCAGCGGCCACCGGCACCGCCTGGCAGTAAGCCGCGCCCTCATTGGTCGGCCGTTGGTCAACGTCATGGCGAAGAGCGCGAGAGGAGTCGGGGGCGGGGCGTTAAAGGGGTCCCGGCTCCAGTGAGGGCCAGGGTCAGCCTCTGTGTGTGGGAGGCCCCGCCCCCAAGAGCGCCACCTGATTGGCAGCTAATTGAAGTGGGCGAGGCCAGGCGAGGCTGGGCGGGAAGGGAAATTTTATTCGCGGAGCTTGGGAACTGGGCTGGCAAATCACGGCGCTGCTCGACCTGCTCGGAAAGCTCACCTGCTGTCTGGAACTGCTGCTGTGAACTGCACAACTAGCCTACAGGCTCCACCTCTCTTAGTTTTGCAAGCTGTTTGTTAAAAGTGTAGGCTCAGCTGGGCGCCGGTGGCTCAAGCCTGTAATCCTAGCTACTCAGTGAAAGAGGATCGGACACGTCCGTCCCGGGGGACCACGCAGAGGCAGGCAGGCACAGGAGAAAGATTACTGTAAGGTTTACTAGAGGAGCCAAATTTCCCCCAAGAAGGGGCACGTGGCCTCCGTCCCCATCCTGGTAGCAGGATGGTCTGAGGGATAGGAATTGAGGAGAGAGGGAGGGGCCAGCTGTCTGGTGGGTTCTCCAGGAATGGGAGGGGTCCCAGATCTGGGTGGAGCTGAGGACCAAAGGTGAGCATAATACTCACAGTTAGAAGGCTGAGAATCTGAGGATCGCAGTTCAAAGCCAGCCCGGCAGGAAAAGCGGCGAGACTCTTATCTCCAATAAACTACCAGAAAACTCGAAGTGGCACTGTGGCTCAAGTGGTAGAGCTGAGGGACAGAACCCAGGCCCAGAGTTCAAGACCCACGACTGACCCCCCCCCAAAAAAAAAAGTTTAGGCGCGTTTTAAATTAATGACAAGGTTGCATTCATTCATTCATTCATTCACTCAATACATGTTATTGAGGGCGGCATTTTAGAAGAATAAAGCAATAAACAATCACTGTCTTGCCTTCCTATTTAGTAAATAAAAATATAAGAGGACAGCCAAGTTTGAATTCAGATAAATTGTGACTTATTTATTTTAGTTCAAGTGGGCCCCTTGCAAACGTCTGAGAGGTTGTTCATTGTTTTATCTGCCTGCCTGTTCTTGCAGCTTACACTCTAGTGGGAGAGCAACAACCCACAAACATATTAAGTGTGGGAAGGTAATGTGGTGATGAGGAAAATTGAAAGGATAATGTATGGGGAGTGCCTCTGTGATTGGGGAACCTTGGGTCAGTGGTCCTGAGGGCATGAGGGAGTGAGCAGAGCTATGGCTTCAGGAAGGCCTGACCAACAAGACCTGAGGCTGGACTTGAAAAGCAAAGAATGGTAGGAAATGAGGACAGAGTCATCTGGGGCCAGACTTTGTAGGGTCTTCAGTAAAGCTGGAAAATCATTGGGGGCCTTAAGTGAAGAAAAGCATACTCTGAATTTAGTTTTTTCTTTCTTTTTCTTTTCTTTTTTTTTTGGGGGGGGGGTCTGGTTGTGGGGCCTGAACTCTGGGCCTGGATGCTGTCCCTCAGCTCTTCAGTTCAAGGCTAGCACTCTACCACTTGAGCCACAGCGCCACTTCTGGCTTTTTTCTTTTTGCTTATGTGGTGCTGAGGAATCGAACCCAGGGCCTCATGCATGCAAGGCAAGCGCTCTACCACAGAGCCACCTTCCCAGCACCTAGTTTTTTCTTTCTTTCTGCTTATGTAGTGCTGAGGAATTGAACCCAGGGCCTCATGCATGTGAGAGGCAAGTGGTCTACCACTGAGGCACTTTCCCAGCCCTGATTTCTTAGTTTTTAAAAACATCATCACTTGGCTACTATGTGGGGAAAAAAAGAATGAGAAAGAGTGAAGAACACCCAGGCTTGTCTGTTCCAGGCCAGCTAGAGATGATGATGATGATGATGATGATGATGATGATGAGCCAGGGTGGCAGCAGTGGGGAGGGCAAACATTCTGGATTCTTGTTCTTGTTCTTCAAGATCTTTAATTAGCATACTAATTGTTCAAGCAGTGTTTCATGGTGACTTTCCATACATGTATACAATGGACTCCATCAACCTCCATCCCTCTGTCATTTTCCCACATCCTCTAGCCTGCTTAAAACAATTTCAACAGGTTTCATTGTTCTAGTTCTGTTCATGCAAACTAATTACTAAGAGCCTACTCACCCTCATTCACCATCTCCACCCTCTCCACTCCTGCCACCCCACAACAGAGCCTGTTTTATTCTCTTGTCATTCTTTTTTTTGTATTGTATATTAATTGTGGTAAAGGGTTACACTATGGTATTTTATACTGGCATATATTACATTTCAATTAGAAAACTCCTCTCTATTGCTCTCTCTTTCTCTATGCTCTCTTTATTGTTTAGCAGCTCTCACTGAGACTTCTTATACTATTTCCATACATAGGCACAATGTATTTTGATATTGATATTATTCACTTTTCTGGATGTTTCTTGAAGACAGAACTAATAATAGTTGTAGGTGGATTAGCTAAAAGGCACAAGAACTAAGAGGAGCTATGGATGACCCAGAGACTTGGGGTGGAACAAGCAGAAGAACATTGCCATTTACTGAGTGGAAGAAGGTTTGTAGCAAGTTTGAGAAGCCAATTTGATATTTACATGGTGATATCCAATAGGTTGCTTGGTTTGCCTGTTAGGACTTCTGGATGGAGACAGGGGCCTGAGATATAAACTGTGGAGTTTTCAGATATAAATGATATTTAAAGCAAAATATATTGAGTTACCTGGAAGAAAGTCACTTAAAATATTTTTCAGTACTCATATTCTTATTGTAGTAATGCCATTGCCTTTGTCTGGGTATTCTTACCTGAAGTCAGAGTCTAGATCTGATTTGTCTTTAATAACAATGAATGACCCAATAAGTATGTGACAATTATGTAAGTGGGCAATGTTACATAAAGCTACGGGGGTGAGTTTTATTTTATTTATTTATTTATTTTTGGGTCCGGTCGTGGGGCCTGAACTCTGGGCCTGGGCGTTGTCTCTCAGCTCTTCAGCGCTCTACCACTTGAGCCACAGCGCCACTTCTGGCTTTTTTCTTTTTGCTTATGTGGTGCTGAGGAATCGAATCCAGGGCCTCATGTATGCAAGGCAAGCGCTCTACCACTGAGCCACCTTCCCAGCCCTATTTTTATTTTTTATTTTTTTTGTCAGCTGTGAGGCTTGAACTCTGGGCTTGGGCGTTGTCCCTCAGCTCTTCAGCTCAAGGCGAGTGCTCTACCGCTTGAGCCACAGCGCCACTTCCGTTTTTTTCTAATGGTTTATTGGAGATAAGAGTCTCAGGAACTTTCCAGCCCGGGCTGGCTTTGAACCGAGATCCTCAGATCTCAACCTCCTGAGTAGCTAGGATTACAGGCATGAGCCACCTGTGCCCGGCAGGGGTGAGTTTTAGAATCAAGAGATCTGGGATTAACTCTTACATCTATAGCCAGTTCTATCGCTGAAGAAGCTGTTTGACTTTTCTGAGTTTTAATTTTTTCTCTCTGTTCTTCATGATACCATGAAAAGATGATTGTGACAGATGATTGATGCCTGGCATGGTTGTGGGTATGGCCCTTTTTTGTTTGTAGAGTTATGCTACCCAAATACACTAGCCATTAGCTTCATGCTAACATAAAGTTACATTTAACACTTCTACTCAGTTTCATTAAAATGAAATAAAAATCAGCCCCTCAGTATCAATGGCCCCATGCCCAGCAGTCATATGTGAATAGTGGCTACCAGACAGCACAGAATAATACAATCCCAACATCACAGATGGTTTTATTGGACAGCTCTACACTAGCACTTCCCTGAAGGACTGGGAATGGACAGGTGAGCCTCCTTATTTCAAGGACTATTTCACAGACACATGCTGTAGCCCCAAAAGCTGCAAGCCAGAGAGGTGGCTGGTCAAGGTGGGTGACCCTCCTCTGTTGTACATCCTTACTGAGGGAACTTAGGACTGAGGTACCCAGGGGTGTGGGGAAGGGCCAAGGATGTACCATTTGGTTACAATGGCTTCAGGTTAGCCAGACTCTGCCCCTTCTGCAGGTAGTGACTGGTCAGGGACTTGGTGCTTCTGCTGGGTTTCTCTCCGAATCTCTCTGCCTGTTGGTCTATGCTCTGGAAAACATACCCCTCCTAGGTTGGGTAAACATCGCTGACCTGTATTTCTTTTCTACTATGAGCTCTTAGTTATCTCCCTGATCTCCTCTCTCAGACCAGGGCCCTCAAGGCCAGGGATCAGGCCAATACTCTCCAGTCCCCAAAGCCAGAGCTTCTATCCTGACAAGATATTCTGCTCTCCCACAGAAAGACAGCCTAAGGTGGTAACTCAGCTTCTCATCTGCTAACTTTCCTATTATGACCCTATGCCTGGAGAAGCTTACCTATTTAAAACATCTGAGATGGTCATTGCTGGCTCACACTTGTAATCCTAGTTACCCAGGTGACTGAGATCTGAGGATCACAGTTCAAAACCAGCCTGCCATGAGACTCATCCCCAATTAACCGCCAGAAAACCAGGAGTGGTACCGTGGCTCAAAGTGGTAGAGTACTAGCCTTGAACAAGAGCTCAGGGATAATGCCTGATAATGCCCTGAATTCAAGCCTCACAGCTGACAATAAACAAACAAACAACAAACAAATAAAACAACTTGTCTGGAAAGCAGTGTAAGCTGAGGAAGGTCACTTTATAGGTCTGATGCTTCAACACTCCTGTATGTAAAATGGGGATAATAACATTCCTTGCCCAGCCTTCTGCTCAGTGTTGTCAGGAGGAAGGAGTGGCATGAATGCTTTATATGTCCTGATGTATCATGCAGAGTGGGTGATTGACATCTGCTGAATGGTTCCGGCATGCTGGGAGAAGGAAGATGATTTTATTGTGCTCAAAATAACACCCAGCATAAATGGCAAAGCTGAGTTTTGAGACCTGAGGAG